ATTTATTTGTGTATGGAAACGTGTGTCTACAGCCAGCCGATACTGAATGGAGAAAGCCGAGGCACTACTGGGCCAGGAGCAAAACCGAAATAGACAGTTTTGGAGTCACCATTCAGGTCAGCAGGAATTTGACTCTTGCTGACTGGAGTCCATTGTGCCGAGAACCGAACATCTGCAACAAGTTAAAGGCGTTCATGTCACTCCGCAACGCGCCTGTGGGCGTGCACTGCCCATGTGATACAGTGCGCCCGCGAAGAACCTACTGCCCGCGGATGGAAGATGGCCCGGACATGACAGCGACAATGCCAGTGAGTGATATGGCAGACTCGGCCTGGATCCAAACCCGCATAGAGAGCGCCTGGAAGGAGTGTCAGCGTCTCCGAACCAATCGCGCACGGAGAGCGCCTGGAAGGCGTAGCAGCGTCTCCGAATTAATGCCGCATGGGGAGCGTCTGGAAGGCGTGCCAGCGTCTCCGAACCATTCCCGCACGGAGAGCGCCTGGGAGGAGTGCCAGCGTCTCCGAACCATTCCCGCACGGAGAGCGCCTGGGAGGAGTGCCAGCATCTCCGAACCAATCCCACACGGAGGACGCCTGGAAGGCGTGCCAGCGTCTCCGAATTAATGCCGCATGAGGAGCGTCTGGAAGGCGTGCCAGCATCTCCGAACCAATCCCACACGGAGGACGCCTGGAAGGCGTGCCAGCGTCTCCGAATTAATGCCGCATGAGGAGCGTCTGGAAGGAGTGCCAGCATCTCCGAACCAATCCCACACGGAGGGCACCTGGAAGGCGTGCCAGCGTCTCCGAACCATTCCCGCACGGAGAGCACCTGGAAGGCGTGCCAGCGTCTCCGAACCATTCCCGCACGGAGAGCACCTGGAAGGCGTGCCAGCATCTCCGAACCAATCCCACACGGAGGGCACCTGGAAGGCGTGCCAGCGTCTCCGAACCATTCCCGCACGGAGAGCGCCTGGAAGGAGTGCCAGCGTCTACAGACCAAGCTAAAACGCCTCTATGCTCGATGTAAGCGCCAGTTTTTGCTCCAGCAAATGTTCACGGTTAAGACGACTCAGTGGCGCTGCGTCGAAGCGTTAGCGTTTCGCCTGGTAAAACAGCCAGGTGCCGAATCATTAGCCCTGACAACGCCGATTACCACGCTCGCCAGTTTGCGAAGATCATACTTTGAAATGTGTCAGGGCATGCTGGCATACTGGCGCACAGCAGCGTACTCTGAGCTCACTGCACCGACAGGCAGACGCTCTATCTATATATTCAGGCCATAAAAGCCGCCAAAAAGATTTACAATGGTGTTCGAAATTTTTACATCAAGCAAATATTCATAGTCCAACCACATGACTTTAAAGACCCATAAAGCGTTAGCGTTAGCAGTGTTCGAAACTTTCACAACATCAAGCAAATACTCAAGTTCAACACCATGAGTTTAAAGACCCATAACACACACACACACACACACACACACACACACAAACCCACACACACACACACACACACACACACACACCACACAAACACAACACACCCACACACACACACACAACACACACACACACACAACACAAACACACACAACACACAACAACACACAACACACACACACACACACACACAACACACACACACACACACACACACCACACACACACACCAACAACACACACACACACCACACAACACACACACACAACACCACACACACACAACACACACACACACACACACACCACACACACAACACACACCACAACAACACACACACACACACACACACACACACACACACACACACACACACACACCACACCACACACACACACCACACACACACCACACACACACACACACACACACACACACACACCACACACACACACACACACATATATATATTATATATTATATATATATATATATATATGTATTATATATATATATATATATATATATATTATATATATATATTTTATATGTGTGTGTGTGTGTGTGTGTGTGTGTGTGTGTGTGCGCGTGTGTGTGGTGTGTGGGGGGGGGGGTGGGTGGGTGTAAACTTGGGAGGCAGATTATTTTTGTGTATTTCGTCCGGAATCACAGCGGACTTAGCATTCATGATCTTTGTTGATGTTTCTTAATGAATCTGATGCCGGCTTCTGCCTCTTCTCGCTGCTTGTTTAAAATGGCGCCAAAGCTCTTGATTAAAGAATACTAGGTTGTCATATTAGATGGCCTGGTATGAGTTATATTCTTAGCGTTTCATCTTCCATTGGACATTTTGTAGATGGACAGTTTTA